GCTTATACATCTGGAGTCAATTATGTCCCTTCCAAAACGAATTGACTACTTAGATTCCTTGGTTGACAAGTTCATTGCACCTAGTTCTGATAGTACTGCAAGCCCTGTGGAGAGGGAAGAGCTATCGTGCATTTTCCTAGAGGTGATGTAATTCCTTGTCTTAATTTTCTCATCTGGCACAGGTTGAGTTTTGAGTCCACAATGTGCTCGCATATATCTCCTCTGTGCGGTTCGAGTCAAATGTGCTGATACTTTCCATTGACGGAAACAATTGTGTTGTTCTCTTGGATTTCTCATTACTGACATTTTTTCCCTACAGTTCTTAAGTGTATTTGGGGATGTACAATCAATCAAGAAGGCTGAAGACCGTCATGCTAAGCTCTTTTTGCCCCATAGGAGCAAATCAGAGTTGAAGAAGCGTCATGCTGAGGATTACTTGTCCTCGGATAAGAGCAAAGTCGCAAAATCTTACACTGATTCTGCTTCACCTGCACAATCTGTGATGGGTGCATACCCAAACGCACAACAAACCCAGTGGCCAGCTGGTTATGGTGTACAACCTCAAGGTTGGCCTCCGGCTACCCAGGCACAGCCACAGGTTCAACAGTGGGGACCAGGCTATACACAAGTAAGTTTCCTTCCTTTTGTTCTTGGTGTTTCTATATGCCATACTTTTTTAACTGCTGGAATAATTTTAGTAATTTGATCTCACTGCATGCCTGATTCCTCTCCTTCCTATGAACATTGCTCCTTGATTGTTCGTATATGCTCTTACGTATCAATGATCAAACTAACATTTCTGCAAGTTAATTTGGATGTTGGTATTTGACATATTATTTTCAGCCCCTCCGGATGCCCTCTTAGAAGATTTGATCCTTGTAGGCTGTCTTGCATCCAGAACTTTTTGTGGGGAAGTAATAACCATCTGTTTTTGTTGTGGCAGCCTGCCTATGGTGCATATGGCGGAGCAGCGTATGGAGGCAGCTACCCGGCTTCGCAGGTGCCCACATCTGTTGCGCCAACTGCTGCATACGGTGCTTATCCTCCTACCTATCCTCCCCAGGTAAAGAAGAAAGAAAGTTTACCTACCTATATTGTTGCTGTTCTCTAGCTTCGCATTATCTAACATCTCTTGTAATTTTTTTCGGGGGTGTTTCAGCAGCCGCAGCAGGCAGCGGCAGCAGCAGCAGCAGCCGCGTTTCCTCAGCAGACGTATGCTCAACCGGCCGGGGCAGCAGCGTTAGCACCGGCTCAGCAGCCAGCTGCAGTTCCACAGCCCTATTATGGGAGTTACTACTGAAGCAGCTGTTGATTGGCTTTTTTGAACTCTCCCCTCTTGTCATTGAATTTAATGTAACAGTGGGGGCTGGAGGGGAGTTTTTGAACTAGTGACCGGGGAGAGTGTAGCTCAGATACAGAAAGAGAGAGGCCTAGGAAAGGCGAGAAATATGACCAAATCTCATGTCTAGTTGTAGAGTATTCAGTTCGTAGCTGGTATACTTTCACATGTGTTTTGAATTTTTTTTATTTTAAAAGAGCTCGGCTTTGTTTTGTTGGTTTATTAACCTATTCGGTCCTCTGCTGTTCATTGATCCCTGGTTGGCAATTCTGCCGAATCCATAAGGTATTTTACTATCCTAACTCAACTACGTGGTGAGTGGTAAATAGATGGGTAGATGTATGTTGATAGGTACACTTATTCGAGTTGGATAGTATTTTTAATCCATAAATTTTGATTTGTACTCATTCAATTCAACCATCTATATGCAAATTATAGTTTGGTACTTAAAACCTAATATATGTTTGATTTAATAGACAAATTAATATTTTTTTATGAGTCCTAAAAGTATTGATGGTAAAATTACATTTTAGCATCAACTTTTTTTTGTGTATTACATTTTCAAACCTAAACTTTTTAAATTTTACAAATTGGGAAAATTTTATTTTGTGTAATAGAAACAACCTCCAATAAATGTATATTCATACCTTACCATTACCAATGCTTATTTAGTGTATGGAAGCAGTATCCATACCCTACCCAAACTCGTTTACAAAACTGCTAACTCAATATATACTTCACCCATATCCTACTCATAAGTCATAAGTAATGGGGTTACTTGAATTTGGGTAAAATTAACATGAGTTAAGTCTTCGATCAAGCTATGTTGCGTGCCGTGACTGGGGAGATTCTCTCTCCGTGGGAACGACCTTATTGAGGGAAAATCCTATCAAAGATTGTGGCTAGGTTAACCTTGTTTTTTGCTAGAGTTTTTAGTGTACGGTTGAAGAAAAGTAAGTACCGTTTGGCTGAAAATTATTAGAGGTTATATAAAATTATTGAAAATTATATATATAAATATAAATAGAAAAATAATTAATTAAAATAATTAAATTGAGTATTTTTAGATTTCTAATATTACATAAAAATATTTTAAATGAAAAATTGCATGTTTTCTAAAAAAATAAAAATTTGAAAGTATAAATTTGTATTTTAGAACCAAAACAGACAAAATGATCGACCTTATTGTTCTCCCGTAGATTTGAAAATGTTTCGCATATTTATTTCTTATATGTGACTTGCATTATAGAGACTTTCATATTTCCTTCAAATTCTAAGTTTTCTTGTTTCTATCCTATATTTGTCTTGTGATGGATAAACTTTGTTGCTATTGTTGTTATGAAGATGCTCAAAAAGTAAATATATTTGTTATACAATTATGTCATCTGCAACATCCATAAACCTCATATCATTGATATTGTGAATTTTTATTCTAGAGGAGTTAAAAAGGGTGTTTTTTTTTTTGTTGTCTTTGCCTATAATCACCTTAGGGATCTTACGGAGGACAAAAGAAGGTGGGAAGCGGCAAGGGATTAGGGTTTATTTCTCTTAATTGAATAAAATGAACACATAGCAAGATAATAAACATAGAAGACAGGGATTAAAGCTGAAGCGAGGAAGGGATGTAGGGGGTTTGATGTGTTTAGAGGTAGGGGTGGGCAACGGGACGGGACGGGATACCCGTCCCGTTTTAAACGGGTACCCAGTCCCATTTGGAGACCAAAGTCCATCCCATATCCCAAACTCATATGGGAAACGGGTACCCATTACCCGTACGGGACGGATAACGGGTACCCATACTACCCATAAATACCCAAAGTTTAAACAACTAAAATTTCAACAAAAGTTTAAACTTAACTTGTATTTGCTTAACAATCACAAGACACAAAATACATCACAATCACAAATACTTGGTTTGCAAATTACACATTCATGAACAATCACAACACATAGAAATAAATCATTCCAAGTACCAAATTATAAAAAAAAAAGTTTCATTCAACACATCCCAACTCTCTCTACTAATTCACCAAACATGTCAGTGAAAGAGTGAAATGGTAAGGGCCCAAATGGAATTGATATTGAAAGGGTAGGCCGAAATTGCCAATGGGTTTTGAATTGGGTTGGGTTGAATTAAATTTCTGCATTTGTATTGAATGGGTATAACGGGTACCCATATTACCCGAACGGGTATTCGCGGGTAACCCGCGGGTACCCATATTAGGAATGTACAATCCCAAGTCCCATCCGTTTATAATATTACGGGTAATATGGGTACCCGTAACCCTTAAAAAACGGGACGGGTACGGGTATACCCAAATACCCGTTTCCCGTTGCCCACCCCTATTTAGAGGAGGACAAAACTCGGTGAGTTAGCGCTCATCTTTTCGGGACCAGAAAAGAAAAAAAAGTTACAGGTTTCTGAATCAAGGCGGTTAAGCTAAACTCTCTAATACCTCCATATAGGAGTTTTATGAATAGTAACTTGTAACTTGTATTATTATGAAACCACTAAATGATTTATATAATTACAAGACTTGTACAATAAGTAAGAGAACCACAATAATTATAATACTAGAAGAACACAGAAATACTAAGAACTATACTAAAAGGACAAGAAAATATAAGATTATTCCTAATCTGTCTCTAACCGAGGGAGAGAGATAGAGGTGAGAGTTTTTGAGAATTTGCTAAGGGTCGGCGATATCCAGAGGAAGGAGAGAGGGCGAGCTAGATCAACAGAAGCAAAAGCGACCGAAGGAGGAGAGACAATGGCCTTGCCACCACACCCAAAAATCATCCTTGGACTTCGATGAAGGTGTTCGAGAGAGAGAAAGAGAGAGAGAGAGAGAGAGAGAGAGAGACGTGATAGTCGTCGTTGCCGCATGAGAGAGAAGAAGAGCCTAGTTGGTGGTCGTTGTTGGCATTTAGGAGAGTAGGAGGCAATGCTGGGAGGGAGGGAATGACATCAACTAAAATGGGGAGAGAAAGATGAAGAGTAATAGACAAACATGAAAAGGAGGCAATGTTGTTACTAAGGGTTACAAGGTCAAAACGTGACCCGCGTCTCTAAGTTGTCCCTACCCGTCCCTACCCTTATAGGGTCAACAAATGACCCGTCCCTAATCTGATCCTGTAGACAAACAGATCAATCCCGACCCTTAGGAACGGGATGGGTCGGGACGGTTAGTGGGTTTTCCGGATCAAAGCTTTCACTCCTAACAAACACCACTTTTCATTTATCTTGCAATTTCAACAAATTTCAAGGGAAGGGAAGTTTCAAAACACGAGGGGAAAAAAAAAAACAACAACAAATGCCAAAGGAATTGAGTTAGGTAAGGCTTTGACCTCTGAAACGGCCAACGGGAAACTAAATGCCCGGGGCCATAGATTTTGATACAGTGCCCATGTATCTGTCAACTGACGCAAGTGACAGTCCGACGTGGCGCAATACTGTCAGGCTAAGCGAGTCAAAGTAACAGAATACTCTCTGTCTTGCTGAGACGACCGTTACGGCGTCAGCCAGCCGTCAGTCCCCCGGCTTTAAACCCTAAAACCGATCGTCACCGGAATCCGGAAAAAAAGTGACGGCTCTGATGTCAGAGAGTGTGTTCCGGTGCGGTCGCGCGTAGCGTGTACTCCTGCGCAATTACCAAATCAGAACGGTTGAGGATAACAGTGGAGCGGCTTTGGGGTTTAGGAGGGAAGGAAAAAAGGAAAGCAAAGAGGAAAAGCCCTCTCTCTTTCTCGTTTTGGGACTTGGTGAAGACTGAAAAGCCTCAGCTCTCTCTCTTTTTCTCTGCGTCGCCTGCTTAGATCTGATCTCCTCCTTTCCCGTATCCCCTCCCGCCGCCGCGTTCCTACTCTCCGCCACGGTGGTGCTTACTCGAGCTCCGTCCGTCCGTCGACTTTCTGTCTGTCCTTTGTTCGTTATTTTTTTTAATTAATTTCTTTCTTGTCGCAAAACCCCTCGCGCGGCTCCTTTTTTTTCACGTATATATAAATATATAAGTACCGCAATAAACCCTAAGGAGGGTTTTCTGGTTTGACGGGCGCCGCACCTCTCCCGACTTCTCCACCTTATCTACCGATCTCTCCCGATCTACCAGCGAGCCGGGATTCTTGATTCGGATTCTTGGTTTCGTTCTCTCTCGCTTTTTGTTGGTGGAGGAGGAGCAGCAGCCACACCGCTATAGCTATGGCCGCTCCGTACCCGGGACCCGTCTCTGCTATTCAGGTGATTTGGTTTCTCTCCATGCCTTCGTTGGATACTAGATGGGAATGATCAAGTGCGCGTTGTTAGAGTGCAGATTGGGAGATGGATTGATTCTGTTTGGATGTGTTTTGTGGGTGGGTTGGTTTTTAGCTTGTGGGTATCTATTACCATAAGATGATTGTTGTTTCTCTGGCTTGGCGATGGTGATTAGGGATCTCATTCTTGTCTCTGTTTTCGCTTTCCTTTTTCTTCTTCTTCTTCTCTCCAGGTGGGGTCGTACTTTGTTGGTCAGTACTACCAAGTGCTTCAGCAGAAGCCCGATCTCGTTTATCAGTTCTACTCCGAAGCCAGTACCATGATCCGCGTAGAGGGAGATGACAGCGAGACTGCCTCGACAATGCTGGTACTGCCCTCTTGCTCCTTATCTCACTCTTGCTAGCTTCACAGCAGTTTAGCAAAAAGCACAATGCCTTCTCTTTTTTTTTTTTAAGCGCTGCCCCGTTGATTGATGATTTGTTTTCATCATTATCTAATATTAGTACCTGATATTCATTCTGAATCTCTTGGTGCTTATAGTAAATAGTTGGCGTGTGGTATATTGCACTTGTCAAGAGTGCGTTTCCCCCTTCCTCATTTTCCTTTGTATTGACTTTATAGTTCATACATCCTGCTAGCAACCCAGTTTACTGCCAACATTAATATTTACCAAGTTTCTGTTTTGTCTGCAGCATATCCATAATATTATCATGTCTCTGAATTTCACTGCCATAGAGATCAAGACCATCAATTCTCTCGACTCTTGGAATGGAGGTGTTATGGTGATGGTTTCTGGATCCGTTAAAACCAAGGAATTCAACGGCAGGAAGAAGTTTGTGCAGACTTTTTTCCTGGCTCCTCAGGACAAGGGTTATTTCGTTCTCAATGATATTTTCCAGTTCATTGATAGTGAAATCATCTACCAGCAGCATCCTGTTTCTACTACACCTGAAAACATCTACCAACAGCACTCAGCCCCTAGCACCGCTGAACACATCTACCAGCAGCACTCAGCCCCTAGCACAACTGAACACATCTACCACCAGCATCCAGATTCAGCGGCTCCTGAGTCAATTTATCAGCAACACATATCAGAGGATACTTTTGATCCTCATCAAAGTGCTTCTGCTAGTCTCCTTGAGCACCCAGGTAATGTGTTATTATACTTCAAGCAAGTTAGATGAATTTCATCTCGTTCTGGATAGTGAGTATATTTGCAGTGAGAGTTACGGCATTTAAAGTCTTAAAAAATGTGTTCATTTTCCGTTATCTGCATCTACGCTTGGTTTTTCTATTCTGTTTAGACGGATTTGTAATTGATTTTTTTTTCTGTTGGCTATGATTGATTCGAAGTTGATTTACCGAGAGCGCATTAGTATGTGGAACCAAGTCTCGGTATCTAGTTAACATTCTTGAGGGTGGAAAACATTATTCAGTTATTAATTTATCGTAGTCCCTGTCCCAGCAGTGTCTGACTACGCCTTGGAGGAAGAAGCTAGAGATTATGTGAATTCGGTTCACATAGAAGATACTCCAGTTGACAAGTACAGCATTCCAGAACTTCAACATCAAGACTTCGAGGATGATATCCCTGTGGATGAAACAGTTGAGGAGGAGACACCATACCAGGGTGCTGTGGAAGTTGTGCACGAACCTTCAGCATCTGCAGTGGAGGAAGCTGAGGGAGAACCACAAAAGAAAACTTATGCATCTATTGTATGCACCTCCTTCTGTCCTGTTCATCTTCCTTTTTAGCTACTCTTCGTTCTGTCTGATCGGTCTCTAGAGCATTGCTATCTTAGCATTTTTTGTCAGAAACTTATGGCAATATTACTTGCTGCATAAACTTTAGGGTTACTACTTATTACTTTTTTTTGGTTACCTGCTGCATGCATAATATCTATCTTATGAAACTTTGAATAAATCGCAGCTAAGAGTTGCCAAGGGGCCATTTTCATCAGTAGCTGCTCAGCAACCTGTTACTAAGAGTGCCCCAGCTTCTTCTGATTGGAATCATGTGTCGGTGCCCAATGCCCAGCAGTCAGGCGCAGGGTTGTCAGTTGTGCCCGAGGCTGCAAATGATAAAGCAGATGACGGTTTGGAACTTGATGAAGGTGAATTTTTCCCTTGTTTACTTTCTGTGACTGGTTCATGCTGGCATTGTGGACATTGTAGCAAACTTATGCTGATTGTTGTGTTCTTGAAATATTGTAGTTTGGAGTCTCTTTTTTCTGTGTATAGTGAATAATTACTTTCTGAATAACATGGTTTGTGATTCTCTTTTTTCAGGTGAACCTAAATCTGTTTATGTGCGCAACTTGCCTTCTGATATTAGTGCTGCAGAAATCGAACAGGAGTTCAGAAACTTTGGTAGAATCAGGCCTGATGGTGTCTTCGTCAGGAACCGAAAAGTAAGTTTATTTTCTTATTCGTTGGCACTAGATGGATGATACCATTCTTTGTAAGTGATCTGAGATGAAGTGTTTTACTCTTTTCTAGGACGTAATTGGTGTGTGTTATGCTTTCGTCGAGTTTGAAGACCTTGCGAGTGTTCAAAACGCAATAAAGGTTCGTATATTATCTAGATTGAACTTCTTGTTATGTTTTTACTTCTTATTTGGTTCAGCTTGCTATCCTGAATATTCTTCAATTCATTGTCTTGTGACCATGTTGACAATCTCTTATTGTTTTGTTTCTTCAATTTATGATGTGATCAAGGATTACCCTAATGTTACTTTCTCCTTGCAGTCATCTCCCATACAACTGGCTGGGAGACAAGTCTACATCGAGGAACGGAGACCAACTGCTGGGGGCATTGGCGCTCGTGGTGGAAGTATGTATTGTTTATTAGTGTATTCAATTCCTGTCATATTTTGGTGAATGACTGCATCTATGCCAAGTACGATTAGGTGTTGGAGGTTGGCAGTAGACTGTAGATATATACTTCTTTTATTTGTGTTGTGACTTGTGAGTGGGGTGTATGTCCATTGTGATTTTTATCAATCTTCTGCTCCAACTGTACTATATTTGGGAAGACTATTAGAGTGCAAAGCTTGTGACAGCAATGGCAGGAACTGACTCTCCATCTCTCTTGTCTGGTTGATTTCTTAGGAGGAAGGGGAAGGGGCAGAGGTGGGTACCCAATGACCGATGCCCCGAGGGGCCGCTACGGTGGTGCTGGCGGCCGTGGTTTGGGCAGAGCAGGTACCCAAGATGGCGAATACAACAACAATAGCAATAGATCAAGGGGCAATGGTTACTCGCAGCGCGTGTCGCGATGAACCGGAAGTGGGATGAGATGGGATGGTTTGGCCTAGCTAGGATCTGAAGCTCTGCTCTTGAGTTGCTCCGTTTCTTGATTGGAACAGTTTGTTTCACAATCATATACACCGGCTGAAACCCATTTTTTTTTTTCTTGGTCTTGTCTTCTTGTCTTGGCGGAGGCTGTGGTGTATGTGGTCAATCTTTGTTTTTGTGGGATTCCTTGGAAACACTTTTACTTGCTTTTAATTAGTACCCCGAGTGTTGCTCTGTTTTTGGTTGATGGCGGTGTTTGAGATGCATGATATTATCTCCCCCTTTTGAGTACAATTTTTTCATTAATCTAATTCAAGTGGGAGATTCTTTCTACCTTAAGTTGTTGATTAGTTTTTACTCGCACAATTCAGTAAATGTATTTGCCCACAATACACTGTTTTCTGTGGCACAAAAAGCTATTTTACGGTGAGATTAGAGCATCCACATTAATAAAATTGTAAAATTAATTGCATATTTGGTCTTAACATCTCAACAAATTTTTTGGCAATCTAAATATAGTTTCATTGCTTACCTAATGAATTTGTAGTGCGCTTAATTTTGAATAGTTTTTGCACTTTCAGCACATCTTTTTAATGATGAATTTTGTATATCCTTCTATTACAAACTACTAACTTAAAGAAGAAACCCATCAATGTATACAAATTCTTCATAGGTTCTATGTACATTCTAAACCTTTGATTAATCACTATCCAAAAAACCTATGAAACAAAAATCTCAAGACAAATACATGCTCACCACCTCTCATCTCCAACCCAGTTGTTCTTTTCCTTCGGCCCTGTTGGGCCATCCTCCCCAGATAACTCCATTGGGAGTTTGGCAAATATGCCCTCGATTGAGTATCTCATCCTCAAGGGAAACCGTTTAATTATTTTCTCAAGCTCAGCTCTTGAATCATAGACAAGTCTTGGACCCCACTTCCTCATGAACTGCAACCAACAAGGCTCGACGACCACATCATCTCCCAAGTACTCTGCCGCGACAACCTCGTATCGAGCGCTTGAACTTATGTATTTATCGCTACGGATTGCATCGTTCCTTATTCCAATCCCAAGTTTTGCAGACCCTTGGATGTAGGTACAAGGGTGAGGATAACTTGCATGCCCATTTCTTGAAGAGTAAACAATCGGTTTGTTGCCTTCTGTGTACTCTAGATCACAAGCACTAACCCATTCACCACCACTGTGCTGAGAGAAATAGACACCCCAAAGCTCACCAGTAAAGTTGCACACACGAAGAGTGAAATGTTCCCAGTCACCAACATGCTGTCCTATCTTGCTTAAAGAGAAGCTAAGAGGTCCAAGCTTAAGTGTTGCTGGTCCATTGAAGGGGCAGAAAACCCACATCGCCATATCGCTAAATGTGCCTCCAAAAGCAGGTTTCACATGAACATAAAGTTTAGCACTCTCTAAATTTCCATGTACTAGAGAATCTCTTTGTTCACCAGATGGCAAATCTATCCAAAATGCCCCATCATTCATGCCACCTCCAGGCAAATTAGACCCGTCGATATCTATGCGAACACGATCGGAGTTATCTGCTTTACACAAAACTGCTCCTTTTTCAAAAAACCATGAAACCGATGATGGTAGATATACTTCATCAGGATGAAAGTAAACTCTAGGGCCATAATGGTGAACAATGGCATGTATCTGTTCAAGATTTGGCATGGCATGCAATCTGGAATCTAGATTCTTTAAGCATGCAATATTCAACTCCTCACCAGGTTTCCAGTGGCTGCTGCAAAAGAAAGTACCCACTGGAACTCCTCTTCCTTTCATTCCTCGATCACAAGGTCTTATGCTCCAAACTCCAAATGGGAAGTTCAGGAATGTAGAATACACATCAAGGATTCGACGATATGTTTCACATTCATCTGTCAAATCTGAGCGAACACATCTGATTTCATCCAATTGTGGTCTGTCGGAGTTGCTAGTAACCAAGAATCCCATAGGTTTATAGCCCTCAGGTGGTACCGGTAACCAAAAAAAGCCACAGCCTTCATAGACCTCTCCATGTTGGTCATCTGCAGTCCAAACCAGAGTATAATCGACGGGCCTTGCAAGAGCAGGTAAGTCGCCATGATTTCTACCGTTCGTAACTTCTTGTCGAGTAGAAGCCACCTCCCTAGCCACTAGAAGAAAACCTGTTATGGGATGTTTATTAGCTTGACAATAGTGCCCGAGGCAGTAGAACCCACGAGGAACTCCCATGGGTTTATAGAACGAAACACCTTTCTTCCTATCTTGTGAGAACCCATAGCCCCATATGAAGCGGAACTTGGAGATTTTAACAACTTCAATTTCTGATAGACCTATTCTTCCACAAGCAAACCCTTGACCTGTGACAAAATAAGGAAAAGACAACCATGTTAAGTAAAAGAGATGCTCCAACTTCAAGGGGAAGCAACCTAACAGAATGGGTATTGAGTGGCCTTTCTGAAAAAATGAAAGTCCAACAACAAAAGGGGACAGATAGAGGCAGAGCTGGATGAAACCACTCATCGAAGTTGTACTGCATCTCTTAACATTGAGGAATACGGCGGCATAGATGGCAAAACATAAAGAATGTAAACATAAAACTCCCAAAATCAAGTGAATGAAACGAACCCAAAATGGTCGAGTTATGCAACCAGCATCATGCACAGAATTGGAAAAGAAGCTCAGACAAAGATATCCCATTATTCTGTCCATTTCATGCAATGGCTTGTTCACAACCAATTCAATAGCTCACTAACAAAGATTCAGTTTTGAGTTAAAATCATGCAAAATCTGACAGAAGCAAGGTTCCAGAAGTATCATCTTTGTCAGCATTCCTTTCATCATTGATAAAAATGCACCACTCCACTAGCGATGCATTTTGATGCACCACTGTCTGTCACATGGTAAAACAGGGCTGTGCTAGATAGAGGCAGCCACAACAGAACTCTCACTAAACCCTTAAGATCAATGCCACTCACAACTACAACCCAGAAACGGCAATCAACACACAATTAAAACCCAGAAACGGCAATCAACTGAAAAATGAAAGGTGAAGTGTAGCTCTCAAGAGACTGTACCGGAATTTCATAAAAAAAAAAACAAAGACTGATCAAGCAAAGAAGAAACAAGTGAGAAGGATAGAGGGTAGTTTACCTGGAGGCCAACTGGGTAGAGGATCAGGAAGGGAGAAAGTATCAGGTTCATAGGCCGAATAATTCGGCAAATTATTTCGCTGGAAACACTTGCAATTCAACATCTCCTTCCTTGACCCTTTTTTGCTCCCTCTCGTCCTCGGCTGCTATTCGAGACAACCAATCATCAATCTCGATGGCAATGCGTAAACCAGCCAGGGTTTTCGAGGAGTGGATCGCGTAAGAAAAAGCGTTGCGATCGCCATTTAATCGATTCCCATCGACGCAATTCCAGAATTTGGTAAAGAGAGGGTCGTGGTGGTGGGGCCGTCCATCGTCCCTACCAACAGAAAACCAATGTTAATGCTCCACAGCACTGGTATGATCTGTTGGTGGTGTAGAAGACGAGGGTTCTGATTAAAATAATATATTTTTCTGTACTAATGATTAAGAAGGATTTTTTTATTATTATTATTATTTGCATGTAGATTCTGTAACATCGAGGAACTTTTTCGGAGCAAGATATTGTTCACTTTGGATCTTGATTCTCGCGGTTTTTGTATTTTACATTGTGCACGCTTAACTTCAGAGTTCTCATAAAAACTCATGCATTTCACTCCAAAATACTTTTTTGTCGGTGAAGGCTGGTTTCTTACTTATTATTGTACTTCATACTGTGCACGTTTAACTTCAGCGTGCTCACAAGAATTCATGCATTTCACTCCAAAACGCGTCTTGTCGATTAACAGTTTAAGACCGGTTTCTTACTTATAAACCATAGGATGCAGTGGCGGAGCCACTTGGAGAGGAGGGGGGTGCAAGCACCCCCCTTGGGTTTGGAGAAAAAAATTCTCGAGTATGGGTATATACAAATTCGAACTAGTGATCATTCAGTTGCAGGAAGAACTTCTTACCATCTTGACCGAGTGAGTTTTGTTATGCAATGCACTTTCGTCTTTATTTATAGTAATAGATTGTTGTCTTTTGTTAAAACTCGCTCATTTCTTTTGTAGCTCTACAACAGAGAAATTTCTTGTCTTTTGTTTAAATAAAGCTGAAAGTGAAGAAATACCAATTGAAGTTCACTTGTTTGTTTCACAAAATCAATTCCAAGGTACTTCTGAGTTCTAATTTGTAATATTTGATGAATGGAAGTCTTGACTTGTATGTACTGAACTTATTTGTTTGACGTTGTAACCGGTGCACGTGAAACTATTTTAATGTAATTGTATGAATATAGAGTATTTCTTTGTTGACTCTTTGTTTCATTTAAAGTTGATTTTTCTATGGTATATGTGATTTTTTATGATACGATAAAGACACCCACTTGGCCAATTTTCTGACTCCAGCACTGCATAGATGTCTCCTATTCTTTGTCGAAGTGGTATTTGTCTAATGGATTTTTCAACCATTTCTCAAAACAATATACATGATTTATAAGTGCGTGGAAAGCATTAATTAAATTTCAAAGTTTCCAACCGGGACAAAATTGAGAGGTACACATTACAAAGTACAGCTAGCCTATAAGCTACCTTTTCATGTCGGCAGCAGCCCTTTTTTTTCTTCTTCTTTGGAATAAAATGTCGGCAGCGGATGATCAATTTTTTTTAATGAGACATGGCAAATTGGTCACCACTAATGCAGAGGGAAAATATCAGTTATCGTTATCGCGAGTTAGATATATGGCAGATTTGCATTTAAAGGTGGATTCAGATACGAATGCAGGGCCAGGCATCGTTTTACACATTCGAGTCAGCTGAATTGATCTCGATTCAATTGGTTGAACTTTGATCTACTTAATTGGTTGCTCTGATGGTCGAATTCAGTTTTAACAATTTTGACAGGAAGGCAGCGTGTAATGATGTAGTATAATTATGCAGTTTCTTCGAATTTCAATTATTAGGTTGATACGTGGTTATTTGTATATTTTTCCTAGATTTGGAGCTTTTTTTAAAGTTGGAAATGTTTTAGTATTGAAAGGAAAAGTATTTAAGTGGACGGAAAGTGATTTTTTTATTAATTGCAGTATAGTTATGACTTATGAAATGGAGAATTGTGTCTCTGGACTATCTGGAAGAATCGGAATGAGGGTGTTTTCAGCAACGGTAGCAAGTCCCTATCTCCTTCCTCTCTTCACCATGTTATTCAAGTGAAGGTACACCTTTGGCACAATGCTTGGCTGTCTCCTTCCCCCATTCTTGGCCGCCAACAGTGACCGCCAGAGAGAGTGGAAGCGGACATTTGTTGGAAACCACCTCTCAGGGGCTGGATCAAGCTTAATGTAGATGGTGCTTCAAGGGGAAATCCCGGCAAGGCTGCTGCCGGCGGGGTTTTCCGCAACGACGAAAGACACTGGCTGAGCGGTTTTTGCTATAGCATTGGAATTTGTTCAGCTACTCAGGCAGAGCTCTGGGCTGTCAAGCAAGGCCTCGAGATGGCCTGGTGGAGCGGCTACAGACTGTTGATTGTAGAGTCGGACTCCCGTCTGGCAATCGACCTCATCCACCAAAGAACGGATCATGTTCACCCTCTTGCTGCCCTCCTTGAGTCTATTCGACGCCTGATTGCGAGAGACTGGCTTGTCAACATTGTTCATACCTACCTTGAAGGGAATAGAGTCGCGGACTGGCTCTCGAAGCACAGTCTCGTCTATCCCTACGGTATGTATGAGCTTGTTGAACCGCCGTCTCAACTTGTTGATATCCTTAGAGATGATGAAAGGGTTGTTGCCCTGCCTCGCAACATTGTAGCTCCTCCTCCCTGATGTAATCCCCTCTCCTCTTTCTGCTTCTCGGCTTTTGGCCTCCTTTAAGTATAAAAAAAAAGGAGAATTGTGTATTTAATGATTCATAGTAAACTTGTGAGTGGAACTGGAAAGTAGGGTTGGCAACGGGGCGGATCGGGGACGGGTAGCTAGTTCCCGTTACCCATCCGTCAAGGCTGACGGATTTCCCCATCCCCGTCCCTTTGTCGGGGCGCGTTTGGTTTCCGTCACCGTCCCCAGACGGATTCGGGTAAACCACGGATCACCACGGATCCTGAGAAAAATACAAAAAAAAGGAAAAAACTAATAAAAAATTCCTGAAATTCAAACTTCAAAGTACCTTGATGTTCAAGGCACATAAATTCAAAACACAAAAGAGAAGATCTGGGGCTGTAACCCTCCCACCACCCAACACCCAGATCTTCATTGTTCAAACAATGAAACAAAAGTGATAGGTTGCAGCAACCAAACAAGCTGCTGCAACCAAAACCCACCACCCAAAACCCATATAACATGTTCTTCACTACACTAGTGTTCAAGTTCAAAACTCAAAAGGAAGAGATAAAAAACAAAGGCAGACAGCCCCAATAACATCATCCATAAATCGAACTAAAACCTATACTAATAGCACACACGAGTTCCTTTGATCTTTTCTTCCAAAAAGTAAGCAACACTATGCTGCTGGAAACCAACTCAACACTCAACAGCAGCATTCATCCTTGAAAAATGAAAAGCAATCACTGCAAGAAACAGAGTAGTAAACACAGTTAGATAAGTGAAAGTCACTTTTAAATTGAACAAGTTAAAAGGCTCAAGTCTAGCTCAATACCTTGAACCTTTCATTGCATTGAACAAATCAGTCGTCTAGGGATATTAGATGCTTCCTCATCACAAGTCCCCCCTGAACTGTAAGAATAAAAAATTACAGTTAGAGATTGAAACTATCAAACTAAGTACCAATCTAAATTGAACTAATTACCAGCTTCGTCTTGATCTTCAGTACTGGAATCTGAAATTGCTAGAGCAGAGAACACCCCTTCCATTGCCTCTACAGCAGCCTTCGATGATTCTGCAGATTGAAGAAAACAATGAAAAAGACAATTAATATTCAATCAAGTTAACATTTTAATGAAAAAGACAAGTAATTGCAGATTACCTTGTTGCATTTCCTCCATAATCCAACTTCTGGTACACATCATTGCCTCTATTGTATCATAGTGCAATCTACTCCGATGAGGGTCTATTAACCTCCCACCAGAGCTAAAAGCAGATTCAGAAGCCACTGATGTAATTGGTATGGCCAAGAAATCCCTTGCAATTGCTTGCAAAGTGGGGTACTTAAGGCCATTCAGTTTCCACCACATCAGTATATCAAAGTCAGGAGACCTTTTAGGAATCAGTTCCTCAAGAAGATAGTGATCCAGTTCAGTATGGATGCTTTTTTTCCTCCGACTCACAAACAGTTCAAAATCAAGATCATCATTTGCAGGAGTAGAAGAACTATCATAAGCAGTTGAAGAACCAGAATTGTTCCTCTCAGACTTGGTTTGGTAATCAAGCACCAAACCACAAATACATTGCTTAATCTTATCAGCCACCAAGTCAGTATTAGTACTGCCAAACTTAGCAGCATAATACTCAATCACATGCAACTTGTATCTAGGATCAAGAACCACTGACACAGCGAGAACCAAGTGTATATCATCCCAATACTTAGAAAATTTCTCCCACATACTCTCAGCCATAGCCGAGATAAGAGAATTGGTATCAGCACACCATTCCAACAATTTCAGTCTCAGATCACAAACCTTGGGGAAAAACAAATTAGCAGTGGGATACTTGCTGCCAGAAAACAGCTTTGTGATCTCACTGAAAATTTCCAGCTTATCAATGACCATAGCAGCAAACTCCCAGTGCATACTAGTAGGGACAGTGGTGTATTGACTATCCCACTGCCTCAAACGAGAGAAAACATCTCTATACACAATGGCTGTAGATAGCATATCATAGGTGGAGTTCCACCTAGTTGGACAATCAAGCACAAGTTGCTTCTCACAAGGCACTTTAAGCTGCTTAGCAGTTTCAAAGAAGGTTTGTACCCTCTTAGGAGTGGACTTCCAGTACACAACACTATCTCTAACCAATTCAATGCCATCTTTGATGACTTCCAACCCTTCTTTCACAATGAGATTCAAAACATGAGCAGAACATCTCATTTGAACCAGCACACCATCCAACAACAGATCATCAATAGCAAGTTTAGTTTTCATATGAGTAATCATGGCATCATTGGTGGTACAGTTATCCAAGGTAATCGAGGACAACTTTCTATCAAGATTCCAACCAAGCAAACACTTGAAAAACCTATCTACCAACCTCTTACTAGTATGAGGGGCAGGGACATAGATGAAACTCAACATCATGTTTTAAAGTTTCCAAGAATTGTCAATAAAATGACCAGTAACCGCAATATACCCCATCTTTTGGTTAGTTGCAGTCCACATATCAGTTGTGACTGCAACTCTACCAATATTACCATCTAAAACTTTCTGAAGCTTTGCCATCTCAGCCCCATATAAAGCAAATATGTCCCTCTTCACTGTATTTCTACAAGGGACAGTGAACTGGGGTTGCAAAGAACAACAGAAACGTTTAAACCCCACATGTTCAACAATGTTCAGGGGATACTCATGCACCATAATCATAGAGCACAATTCCTTCCTAGACACATCAGAATTGAATTGAGTAGCAGATAGGAGGGGTTTTCCAGTTGGTTTATAATCAGGACCAAGAACTCTCTGCCTACCATCATGTATCTTTCTTTGGGTGCAAGTTTTGTAATGGTTCCTCAAGTGGGAGGTTCCATTACTAGTATCACCACCTAAACGTTTTCGACAGTATTTACACTTGGCTTTAATCTCCCCATTAAACTTGACCCTCACAAAATGTGGCCAGACATCAGAAGTCAATTTACGATCTTCAGCCATAATTATTTCAACATTTTCATTCCCAGAACCATTAGCATCATTCCCAGAACCATTATCAACATTCCCAGAACCATTAGCATCATTCCCAGAACCATTACCATTAACATTGCCATTACCATTACCATTACCATTACCGTTTTGATTAGAAGGCACAGTAGGATCATTCGCATTCAAAGCACAATTTTCAGTAGCACCATCCATCTACATAAACAATTAAATAATTGCATTCAATCAATCAACCAAAACTATAAACTACCCAGACAAATCACACAACACACAATACAAATTACAATCGACTAAATCGAGAGTTGAATTGGACCAATAATAAAAGGAAAGTCTTCAATTGGAAGTTACCTGTAATCTGGAGAGGGACTGAGGGAGACTCTGTTCACCAGACTGCAGATGGTGAGCACTGAGCTGATGCCTCGAATGATAGACACAGCTGATGCCTCGAATGCGAAGCTAAACAACTCCCAAACAAAGCCAAAAAAAACAAAAGAAAATTAGCATGCATGCATCGAATGATAGACACAGCTCATGAATCTGGAAAAATAATGGGTTAAGTTTGTGCTTACCTCGACTGTGCTCTGAGCAGAGTGCAGGTAATGTGTTTAAGGAAGAAGGCTGACCAGTGACCTGAAATTAATCGAGGGGTTAATTTATATACGAGAAGAAGGAAGAAGGCAAGAAAGTGCAGTAGAATACGAAAGGAAAAGGGGGAGAAGGAACTTATCTCGCTCGATGTGCGATATCACGTCGATTTCCCCCAATAGCTGCAAATCGAAGATTGCAGCGGGCAATTTAGGGCTCTGCATGCTGTTTCCCGACGAAATCGCCGGCAAAACTAGCATCCAATTGGCCAAATTGAGAGATAATGATTGCCAGTAGGCAATCATAATTGTATAAAGAAGCTGGATTGGGAGGAAATCGTGGGGAACAGAGAGATTTTTGAGCGGATTAGATGTTTGGAGATTCGATGGAGAGAAAGAAGCTAGGGTTTCGGGAGGTTCTCGAAGAGGAAGATGAGAGGATTAGAGGAATGGGAGGAGTCGTTTGGGACGGCGGAGAGTGAAAAATGAGAGATTAGGGTTTGCAGGGCTCGTTTTTTGGTTTATATACGATGTCTAAGCGACGTCGTTTTATGATTCGGGGCGGGGGCGGGGGCGGGGCGGATACCACTAATACCATCCCCACCCATCGCCCGCGACCCACGGGTTTCGGGTAAATCCGAATCCGCCAAAAGCCCACACCGGACGGATTTTTAGGGTATAATTCGGGCGGGTTTCGGGTGGATACCCGCTGGGTCGGTCAGGGTTGCCAAGCCTACTGGAAAGTGAGAAATGATAATGGGTGCAATTTTCTTGTGTAAGCACATACTGAAACATACCTTGTATCCGAGGCTAACTCGCCGGATCGGGCTATGTTTCCGAGTCAGTGATCAAAGTAGAAAATTTGACGAATTTATAACGGCTGCTTGCCACCCGCACCCTAATTTTGCATAGATAGGGATGGAAATGAACAAATTTGCTCCCTGGTTACTAGACGTACCAAAATAAACCTTTTCATCACTCGAATCGTAATTTAATAAGCCAAATCGTGATATGTTTCTTTAGTAAATGAACCATAGCTCAAGTTTGAGCTAGGACCTCCTCAACTTACTAGGCTCACGAGCTAGCTCAACTTGATGGCTCATTGAGCTAAGCTCGCAAGCGGGATTGTTTAGAGTTGGGAGCTAGCTTGACTCTCAAGCTCAACGGTTGGTCATGGGTTGGGTTGGGTGTTATGATGTGGCAGTTCAGTTTTTATTTTTTCGAGTTAAAATTGCGTGGCTAGGTGTTTATGTTAGCCACGCCAATAAAAAAGATAACGACGGTAACGAAGACTAGCGGAAGGTAATGACCAGTGACCAGAACTTGAACACTATTGCTTTGGATGTGTTTCTCTGGAGCAGATCCGGTGAGTAACCTTGTGGTGAGTAATCTCATGCATAACCCAATAAGAATCTACCACATCAGCGCCTCCTTCTCTCTCCTGGAAAAATCATTAATTTTCTTTCCCTTAATCTTTAACGGACGATTTCTCACTCGTTTTAACTCGGAATTTAATTTTTTTTCCACAGTTAGATCAGATTAATTGTGCTATTCAAAATGATATCCACTTTGATATTTTTTGGAACAAAAAAAATTTGCCAATTATTACCAGTCTATACCATATGGTATTGACTATATACCATATGGTATTGACTGGTATTAAATAACAACATATGACTGGTATTAAATAACAACATACCATATGGTATGAAAAATACCAGTCAATACCATATGTTGTTATTTAATACCAGTCAATATCATATGGTATTAAATAACAGCATACCATATGGTATGAAAAATACCACCTCATACCAGGGTGGTATATTCATACCATGGTGGTATAGTATGGTATGGAGTTGGTAACGAGAGGTTTGAAATTTTTTCCCCCAGAAAATTTTGAAATCCAATAGATCATGATTAAATCTTTCCTTTTGTGCAAACATTTCCGAAAATGACTAAACAACGAAGGAGATATCATATGGTATGGAGTTGGTAACGAGAGGGATGAAAAAAAATTTCTCAAAAAAAATTGAAAACGGATATCATTTTGTAGAGCACAACGAACTCGTTCCATCTGTGCAAAAAAAATTGAAATCCGAGTTAGAATGAAGAAGATATGATCCAATTAAGAAAACTAGGGAACATAAATTCCTCTAATTCTCCACCCTTAGATCTGCGGTCACTTAAAAGAAGGGTCCAGATTTGATTACTCATTGTTACTCACCTTAAGATTACTCACCCTATCTTGAGCCGTGTTTCTCCTATCTGTTGCACACGTGTTTTTAATAAAGTTTTCATAAAACACCAATTTTTTCCCCAGTGATCTTTCTTCTTCTCCTCCTCCTCCTCCTCCTCCTCCTCCTCCTCCTCCTCCTCCTCCTCCTCCTCCTCCTCCTCCTCCTCCTTATTCTTTCCACGTTCCAGTGACTGCAGCCTCCCCTCTCTCATCTCACACTTCTCAACTCTCTCCCGATCTCCCATCTCGACAACTCTCTCCCGTCATCCCACCGCTGCTGTAAACCTCTATCATCCTTCCGCCTCCAGAAGCCGGACTCATCATCAAAGATATGTAAACTGGAAACTCGAATCCATCGGCGGCAGGAAACCCAAATCAGTGGCCGCCGTCTATCTCAATGGATGATAAATCTTCTCAATTCAAATCCCACTCGAAATCCCCATTTTTTTTTCTTTCTTTGTGCCGCAATGTTGATTGGTGAGACAGGGGAAATCTAGACGGCTTGATTGGGGGAAAGAGGCGGCAGAGTCGGGCGATTGGACAGATGCGACGGCTTCTTCTCCGCTGGGGCAAGGATCGGCGAAGTCGGGCAGTTGGACAGAAGCTGTGGCTTCTTCTCCATGGTCAGCCGGCAACTTCTTCCCCATCCCGGCAGGAGAAGTAGCGGGGCTGACCTTCCCCATCTCGACTCCTTTTCTTCTTTGGAGTCCGCCGCCGCTTGTCTTCCACCAAGAACAGAAGCAACCAAGGAGAACAAGATTTTCAGATCTTAAATAAATTTTTTATTATTCTCCAAATCAATGGAAAACAACGGAAGTAAACATGATTTTTTTTAAGTTTTCGTGTTTCAAAATTTTTCAATTTTGTGAGATGAACACGTTGCTGATTTTAGTTGTGTTGGTGTTGTTGTTGCTTTTCCGTTGGCACAATCTACATAAAACACAACAAAATAAAATCTATACTAAACGGAGTGATCACAAAGAAATAAAAAATATTTAGTACCAAACTTGTAACAATTTAATAAACCGATGAGCAAACTTGCAATTTATCCAAAAAAAATCAAAAGGAAGAGAAGGCAGTTCAGCTCAACCACCCTAACCTGGCGCGAGGGTTTGCCAGCGACAAGCAATCTTGGACCAGGGGCTGGTTGATTTTGGATCGTGAGGCAATTGAAAATTTCACGCCGGACGACCGGCGGTGATCTGGCTATCGTACGGCGGTTGGTGAGAACTGAGAAACCCGTTGCTTGGAGAAGTTTCCTTCTCTTTATTCTCCCCCTTTTCTTCTCTTTGAACATATTGGTTGTTGATTAATCGCTTTAGATTCACGAATTACACAGAACGCCCGGAAGGCCGGCCAACTCTATTCCATTTCTTCCGTTTCATTTGGTGTTTAGTGTTTACGCAGTAAATGTAATCGTGGTTAACCCACCACAAATTTTGTTAGGATTGCTGCTACTTATATGGTTTCTATCATCATATCAGCTGCTCTGATCCGGTATATGAGTTGAGGCAACTCGAGTCCAGTGATGGCGGACTTACCAGGTTACGTGCGTTCTTGCTTGCAAACTGGTCACCTTGCTATGCTGGCTATTCTCGTTTCTGGGGGAATTGTGCTCCAAGTCCTGGTCAGTAGTAGTTCTCTCAGATGTTGATTACCTTTGAAATTTGCATAATGGGTTCCTTAACCAAATGCTTTTGACTGTTGAGGTAACCATTGCTTGTCTATCATCATTTTGGCATTTTCAGGCGTGTGCTCTGTACAATAATTGGTGGCCGATGCTAACTGGTAAGTGATTACTTTCCAATTGAATAGGATTTTTCTTGAATTACCTCCTCAGCTGATGAACAACATGACTAATCTGTCATGCATTTAATTTGATTGGTTAGCCTCTTGTTCCTGCAAGCTGATACTACAAATGTCTTTTTTCTATGACTTGAGAGCTTCTTCTTTTGCCTATTTCTCTTTTCCGTCGATTATGTCTGGCAGTCAATGGTAGAAGAATTATCAACGAAAATGTATTTCGCTGAAGGAGTTGCAGGAATCATTGTCTGTCTTTGCCTACTGGATGCTAAGAGTACATGGATTGGTTTTCACAATTTATGAACCCCCTAATATAGGCTGTTGTCCAGTCTTTGGACTATCTTAAGATAACAAACCCTGTTGTTGTCCGCTCAGATGCTATATTGGTTGCCTAGTATGGTGAATTCCTTATCTGCTTCCATCGTTGGTTCACATTCCTCAAACTACCACCATTGTATATGCTGACAACGCCTATATATGCAACTCCCCATTCGCAGTTCCCTTTCTGTTTGTGTGGATCGTTGATGAATGATGATCATTGGCTCATAGTGATTATCTTCCTTCAAAGTTAGAAAGGTCAACACAGTCAGTGTTCTAACTTCCTATGTTCTTGCAGTTGTGATGTATGTGATTCTTCCAATGCCATTGCTGTTCTTTGCTGGCTCAGAATCCATCTTTCAAGAATCTGATAGCAGGTGACGCTCCATATCCCTTGTTTTAAGAGATTTTAAATCCGAGTTTGGCCAATATGAGCTGCATATTGAACATGAGATTAACCGAAATTTTTTTCCCGCGACTCCTGATGAACAATGAACAGCTGGGTGAACGCAAGCAAGTTTTTCACAGGAGCATCTACAGTAGGAAGCATTGCCATACCTGCAATCTTGAAACATGCTGGCATTATTGGGTGGGGAGCACTGGCAATGGAACTTTCGTCATTTTTCATATTTGTGATAGCCATAATGTGTTACATGAGCATGTATGATGAAGATGGTTATAGTAGTATGATTTAACTTGATTGGTGTGCAGAAAGTGCTGATTCCAAGCCTGTTACGGCTCCATCGTACTCGTTAAGGTGTGGCTATAATATTGTTTCTTCTGTTTTTTTTATGAATTTCTTCTTCTGTTTTTTTTTTTCACTTTGTGGAGTTATACTATTCTTTATCCATAACTTTGTATCTTGGTTGGAAGTTGAAAGTTGTGTTACGATGCCAATACATATATATGTATAAGGGATCATATCTGTGCAAGCCAGTCTACTTCATTTGGTTCTCATCTACTTCATTTGGTTCTCATCTACGCTAAGTCGAGTTCTGATTAACCGTGGTTGGTAGTTGGTACTAGGTAGCATAGTTGAGGTGTTGAGGTTGAGGAAGATGCCTCTCCCTCTTCTCCTCTTCTCCTTCCTTCAGCTTCTCTCTCTTCTCGCCCTCTAAAACCAGAAATTCTTCTCTCAAAATTAGCTCTTCTAAAAGGGGGGAAAGGGGTCTCCTATTTATAGACAATCTGAGGACGGACAAGTTCGCGGTCAGAAGGACAGAGATCACAGGCGGGATCTTCAGAGGATAGGCCGCAATCTTGAAATGCAGTCGTACTGGCCTTCAGGATTGAGGAGATCGCGGGCTGTCTTCGTGACCAAAATGCATTGTGGTCGTGATTCGACTGGGGAAACTCTCTGTTCCTCCTCGACACCTTCTTCGCGAAGTTTAGGCCTTGAGCCCTCCAATTCGCGACCGTGATCTTGGGATTCCAGGCTCCGATCTTCACGCTTCAGCTTGTTTTCGTGGTCCAGGATCTCGGCCGTGATCGTTACTTCTAGGCCACTATCTTTAGTCTTATGTCCCCTTGATACACTTGTGACCTTGTTTTGTACCTAATTCGCATATATCGTATAACACACCTTAAAATCACGTCGAATTCAAATAGGAACGAAATAAGGATGCAGTTGACAATGTTTAAGCATTTATGCACATGAATTGACACAAAATAAACCTCAATATGAAGGTTAAATAACACCAATTTCAGTGTTATCACTATGGTTATTCTTTCAACAATCAAAACAGAGTTTGTGGCTGCTTCATAATGTGAAACTCTGTGTGTTTAGTTGAGGATTCTGGAACAAATGAGATTGAATAATAGTGTGAAAAAGGGAACAAAGAATCTATTGTGATAACAACTTCACTATCAAACTCTCAAGAAACCTAGTATTTCATGAAAGAAACATATATATAGATGTACGATTTCACTTTCTAATAAACCTTGCAAATGAAGGTACTATGAAATTAGAACATGTAGAAAACAACGAGTAGGTTGCCGATGTGATGACAAAATCATTGAAGCTTGAAACTTTCCAACTGTTGCAAAAACTTGGGGAGTTTGTGATGTTGATGTGTTTACATGAGCCAAGGAGCTAGGGGTGTTCAAATGATTACCATGGTTATAACCAAACCAAATAAGGCAAAATACATTAACCATGGAATACAATATCATAACCAAACCGTCCAAACTAATACAACAACCAAATTAACCAAATTAAAGTTTAATCGGTTTGGTTAATTGGTCAACCAGATTAACCAATATAAAATCACATTATCATTGACGATGAAAATTTTCCGGTTAATGCAACAATTCGCAATTTATATAATGAATAAAACATAACAATCAACACGTAGTTATAGTTACCATTTACAAAAATACATGCAACTAAGACAATTATCTTACGATTAGTATAGAAGTATTCACCTAACAAAAATTTATGACAATGGTATGGGTTAATGAATTGTAGTGTTTGTGTAAATTGACTTAGTCTCTTAGCAATTATCATAGGCTGAAAAGGATCTTGCTTTCAAGTTTTCATCCATCATAATGTATGAAATTTATCTAAATTAGACGTCCATATGTTGGTCTACATTTTACATATACAAATATACACTATATGAGCAATATTGAGCTTTATATTTTATGAGTCTAAAAGGGATGAACATTAACTCTTTAGTGGTTATGCAAAGTATTAAGTATGTGTATAACTGTATATAATATATGTTAGATATATGACTAATTACTTAACTGGTTAATTTGGTTTGATTGGTTAGGAGTGTCTGAAACCAAACCAAACCACCTAAACCAAACAAGCTAAAAACTTTAACCAAACCAAACCAATTATCCAAATTAACCAAACCAAATTATCCAAATAGTACTGGTTAAAACGGTTACCATGGTAACCAAGCTGTTTGAACACCCCTACAGGCTACAAGGAGCAATGAGATGAACTAAAAGGTAGAAGCTGCTTTAGTTCACGTGAGGATGTTAAAAGGTGAACTGAAGTATCGACCAAGGGCGCTACAAAATAAGAGATTTTGTGCTAAAGCATTTGAAAGTTAAAGTTTGAGTCTATTACTATGTCGTTTGGTCATTTACGTTTTGGTCATTTTAGTTTTTTTTTTAGTGTGTTAAATGAGTTATAGTCGTGTTTGAAGTCTGCAAACAAATCAATATCTTAGTATTGAGTTTAGAGGGGATTTGTTAGCTGGTTTTTAGGGTTATGTGGTTAGTGGAAGCTATATTTGAAGGTTGAGAATCATGTTACTTAGTTTTATCCAGTTCCATTCAATACACTTTGTCAGATTGCACAATTTGAGTTTCATAGTGCAAGTAATGAACAACGCCATCGAGACACGGCGTTGTTGGTTCATTTTGTGCCCACGTTTGCCGGAAAATCCCTATCCCCTTTGATTCTCAATCTCCGACAATCCGATGAATAGAGTAAGACCATGCTATCATGATGGAATTTTTGTTCTTAAGATTAGGGTAAAAATTATGGATCACACATCGGTAAACAAATTCAAAGTCATAAAGCAAAAGTAACCCGACTTAAGTTAACTTGGCCTGACCGAGCCCTAAGCCGACCCCCATTTCCTTCCCGTTTGTTCCCTGTTAGGGATGACAATTTTGACCTGATCCGTTTTATCCGACCTGTTTGACCTGTTTTGGGGCGGGTCCGACCCGCTCCGTAGGCGGGGCGGGGCGGGGCGGGCATGGGTAGTCTCATCGACCCGACCTGCCCTGACCCGCCCCATTCTCGGCTCGTTCTTGTCTAAATTACATGTAATCTTAGTCTAATTACTTTGAATTTTCCTTTTACTGCATCATATTTTAGCTATAATAAAGTTGTAAATTAGTGAAAACCTCAATTTCTCCAATAATTTAACTACAATTGTCATAATATTGTTTGTTTTCTTAGTCTTATAATAAAAATAACAAATATTTCTAATGTTTTTCATATAAATTGCATACCCATTGGGTCGACCTGCCCCGACCCGCGACCCGTAATCAATTACCTGACCTGGACCCGCCCTACCACGGGGCGGGTCTGGGTACCAAAAAACCCGCTCCGGACCTGCCCCATTGCCATTCCTATTCCCTGTAGAAGAGGAACTGAGAAAGGAAAAGAAAGTAAAACGCAGCTCTCTCTTTCATTCCTCCCTCGCTCGTTATTCTCTCTTGCTCTCTTTACCGATTTCCTTTTCGCCCAAAAACAACTTGCGGAACAAAGAACCTCCTCGGTTTCTCGATTCATCCTGTTTCTCTCCGATCACATCGCTGCCAAACACCGAAATCCTGCTCCGACGACCCCAAACTAATAAGAGGGTTTCGATAAGAGGAGGGAGTCGCCGGCGGCGAAGAAACGCCGCTGGAAGAGGGAAAATCTGGGTAATTGGGCGTTCCGATTTGTTTGCCAGCGTTTGATGCAGGTTTTTGAATCGAATCCAAGGAGCTAGGTAATATTTTCAATTCCTCTCCTTTTCTGATTTCATGCCAATCCAGGATTTGGGCCCAGTTAGTTTAGGTTCGGTATCGGTCTGGGCCTTTTCTGGGCCTAAGAACGCCCTGCTTCTGCTTCTATATTTCGCACTACGGAAACAGACACTTTTATTTTAAAGCCGCGAATCAAACCAAGGCTTCAGTCAGTTCGTCCTAATCGAAAAGCCCTTGCTCCGCCTCCCTCTCTCCCAGTTTGCTTGCCGGCCGCCTGCGAAGAAGGAAGCTGGGAATGGAATTTTGCCCAACCTGTGGAACGTTGTTGCGGTACGAGTTACCGGCGGAGAGGCATCCCGCCAGATTCTTTTGCCGGACGTGTCCATATGTCTGTTCAGTTCAGACCGGGGTATTTTTCGTACTTGTCATTACTCGTTCGATCTTTAGCACAGAGTGTTTGATTGGTAAAACCCATTACGATGAACCGTTTCGTTTGGATTGTCACAGGTTAAGATCAAGAGAAAGCTGCAGCTCGTCAAGAAAGAAGTTGAGCCTGTTTTCACCCTAGAAGACATGATGAAGGGAGGCTCCGAAACTGAAGGTGAGGGTTTTTGCCGCCTTTTCTTGCTCGCTTAGTTACATGAATGATCGATCGAGTCTATGTTGGCATTGATCGTATCGCGAGTTTTGGGTTCTGTTTCGATATTGGTAAAGTTGAAAGTGGAAAAGAATACTAGGAATTGAATCAATGCACCATCGAAAATTGGAGAACAGGATTGATGTTCGTTAAGGGTCTTGATTAAGATTGTACACATGATTACTCGATGACGATCGATGGTTGCAAATTCTGATGCTCTTGTTTGTTTGTTGGGTGCAGCAACCTGTCCTCACTGTAATTTCGGGAAGGCCCGTTACCAGCAGCTGCAAATCCGATCAGCAGATGAGCCGGCAACCACATTTTACTTTTGCCTGAATGAGAAGTGTTCACGAATGTGGCGCGAGGATTGAGTTTGCTACATTTCTTTCCTCTTCTTTGCTATGTTCTTTTTTTTCTTTCTATCTTGGCGGGATTGGTTTCGTGTTCTTCTTATACCTAAGACCAATGTTTCGCTTGTTGCATGTTACTGCAATATTCCAGTTGCTGATAATGCTGCAATGCCATCATCAATCTGATTATCAACTTTTTTGCTCGGTAAGGTTTGAATTCCATGGGTACTTGTGAAAATTGTTGATATATAGATTGGCATAAGAATTGCAAGACCTCCTTAGAGCTCAAGATTAAGGTCCCACGAAGATCTCCAACTAAGGCTGCTTGCTGCCTTGTCCATCTGTCACGTTGCAGAACCAGAACAAGCAAACGAATCATAAAGGTCAGTGGAAGTATGGCCCAAATGGGAAATAATGTATGCTGAGCAACTGCATTTGCAACAAGACTTCAAATTTATAGGGAGAGGGTGTGTTTGCATTCGTCAACTCCGTGGC